ACATATATATAATATATATATATATATATATAATATATATATATATATATGTGCCTAGTGCAAATCCCTCAATGCACGCTTCGCAATTAATGGCGACGCGTAAAAGAAGAGAGCGGCGAGAGGAGGGAATATTAAGGCCCGCGGATGAATTTACATGGATTGGCTATCTAAAGTTGATGTTTAAAATTCCTCGTCTATATTAGCATTAATTCGCCATTATCTATTCTGTAGGTCGTTTGCCTGATTTAGATGTCGAAATATATTACCGATTACCCCACTTGGCATCATTCAAGGGGATGCGTTATAGGAATTCTTAGAGAGAGAGAGAGAGAGAGAGAGAGAGAGAGAGAGAGAGAGAGAGAGAGAGAGAGAGAGAGAGAGAGAGAGAGAAGAGAGAGAGAGGAGAGAGAGAGAGAGAGAGAAGAGAGAGAGAGAGAGAGAGAGAGAGAGAGAGAGAGAGAGAGAGAGAGAGAGAGAGAGAGAGAGAGAGAGAGAGAAGAGAGAGAGAGAGAGAGAGAGGAGAGAGGGAATAGATATAGACTGAATGAGGGAGAGGTGTGAGGGAGAAAAAAGAGAGAGAGACTTGGTCCAAAAATCATCGTTCGCTGAGGTCGATGAAGTTTCGAATCCCATCGCTCGGGCTTCTTAAATAAGTAATAATACCACTAATTAATTATTTAATTATTATTTAATTATTAGACGAATTCATTAAAGAAAAGGCAAATAATCTTACCAAAACGGAAGGGCGAATCCCGGAGAAGAGCAAGAATGAGAGAATAAAGGGAAGGAGAAGGAGTGGAGGGGAGGACAGGGGGGGGGGGAGGAGGTGGAGGTGAGGAAGGAGGTGGAGGGCGAGGGGGGGGAGGTGTGGAGGGTAAAGACAGAGGGGGGGAGGTGGAGGGCGAGGACAGGGGGGTAAAGGAGGTGGAGGGCGAGGACAGAGGGGGAGGAGGTGAGAGCGAGACCGGGGGGTGAGGAAGGAGGTGGAAGGTGAGGAAGGAGGTGGAAGGAGGTGGAGGGTGAGGCAGAGGGGGGAAGGAGGTGGAGGGCGAGGACAGGGGGGGAGGAGGAGGTGGAGGGTGAGGAAGGAGGTGGAGAGCGAGGATAGGGGGGGAAGGTGGTGGAGGGCGGGGACAGGGGGGGGAGGTGGTGGAGGGTGAAGACAGAGGGGGGAAGGAGGTGAGAGCTGAGGACAGAGGCGGGGGGGGGAGGGGAAGGTGGTGCTCGTTTGTAAACGACGCTGTGATGGGTGGCGGCCATTACTGGTGGCGGACACTGGCAGGTCCTTGCACGCTCATCACGCCCGGGCCGGGGGAGGGGGGGGGGGTAGGGATGAGGAGGGAAGAGGAAAGGGAGGAGAGAGAGAGAGGGAGAGGGAAAGAGAGAGAGGGAGGATAGAGAAAGGGAGAGAGAGAGAGAGAGAGGGGGGGGAGAGGAGAGAGGAAGGGGAATAGATATAACTGAATGAGGGAGGATAGGGGAGAAGGAGAAGAGAGAGAGGAGAGAGAGAGGAAGAGAGAGAGAGAGGAGAGAGGAGAGAGAGAGAGGGGAAGATATAGACTGAATGAGGGAGAAGTGTGAGGGTGAAGAATAGGGGAGAGGAGAGGAGATAGATATAATAGATAAAGATGAGAGAGAGAGAGAGAGAAAGAGAGAGAGAGAGAAAGAGAGGAAGAAGAGAGAAGAGAGAGAGAGAGAGAGAGAAGAGAGAGAGAGAGAGAGAGAGGGAGAGAGAGAGAGAGAGAGAGAGAGAGAGAGAGAGAGAAGAGAGAGACAGACAGACAGACAGAGACAGAGAAAACGAGAGACGAAGAGAGAGAGAAACGAGAGAAAGAGAGACAGCCAGAAAAAGAGAGAGGAGACAGAGAAAACAAGAAAGAGAGAAGAGAGAAGTATCAGCAAATAAGAAGAGACAAGAGAGGGTAGAAAAGACGAAAGAGACAACGAGTCAGGAAGGAGAAAGAGACAGAGAGAGAGAGAGCCATCGCAACTGCCAGTTTAATCCTGTCGCATATTTCACTTTATTCACCAATCGAAGTCAGTATGTCACAGCGCCATGCATGATTAAACACCGAGAAGAGACTGCATGTCGCATCTGCATCAATTAACCATCGACAGCACAGGTAATAGCCACAGAATATAGCATAAAAGTGTAGTTAATAGTAACAGAATACAAGATAATAGTGTAGTAATAGTAACAGAATACAAGATAATAGTGTAGGTAAAAGTGTAGAATATATCATAAAAGTTTAGTTTAATAGTAACAGAATATATCATAAAAGTGTAGTTAATGTAACATAATATAGCATAAAAGTGTAGTTAATAGTAACAGAATACAAGATAATAGTGTAGGTAATAGTAACAGAATACAAGATAATAGTGTAGGTAATAGTAACAGAATATAACATAATAGTGTAGTTAATAGTAACAGAATACAAGATAATAGTGTAGGTAATAGTAACAGAATATAGCATAAAAGTGTAGTTAATAGTAACAGAATACAACATAATAGTGGTAGGTATAGTATAGTTATAGTAACAGAATACAAGATAATAGTGTGGGTAAAGTAACAGATATATAGCGTAGTTAATAGTAACAGATACAGTAATAGTGTAGGTAATAGTAACAGAATATAGCATAAAGCGTAGTTAATAGTAACAGAATACAAGATAATAGTGTACACTATACAGATATAGCATAAAAGGTAGTTAATGTAACAGAATACAAGATAATAGTGTTGGTAATAGTAACAGAATACAAGATAATAGTGTAGTTAATGGTCACAGAATACAAGAATAATAGTGTGGTAATTAACAGAATACAAGATAAAAGTGTAGTTAATGGTCACAGAATACAAGATATAGTGTTGGTAATAGTAACAGAAATATTCATAAAAGGTAGTTAATAGCCACAGAATATGCATAAAGTATAGTTAATGGTCCACAGAATATAGCATAAAAGTGTAGTTAATAGTAACAGATTATAACAATATAGCATAATAGTATAGTTAATAGTAACAGAATACAAGATAATAGTGTAGGTAATAGTAGAATATATCATAAAAGTGTAGTTAATAGTAACAGATTATAGCATAATAGTATAGTTAATAGTAACAGAATACAATAATAGTGTTGTAATAGCCACAGAATATAGCATAAAAGCATAGTTAATAGTAACAGAATACAAGATAAAGTGTAGTTAATAGTAAGAAAGTATATCATAAAAGTGTAGTAAATTGTAAAGAATATATCATAAAAGTGTAGTTAATAGCCACAGAATATAGCATAAAGTTAGTAATAGTAACAGAATATATCATAAAGTAGTTAATAGTAACAGATATAGCATAACAGTGTAAATAGTAAAGTAACAGAATACAGCATTAAACAGTGGCTAAAATCGTATTCAACTTTGTCCTCTATTCATTTTCTTTTATTCAACTTTTTTTTTTTTTTTTTTTTTTTTTTTTTTTTTTTTTTTTTGCAAAGGTATAATTACTATGTATTTAATCATATAACTTTCTAAATGTGAGAAGTAAATTTAGGTAAATTTAGACAAATCCTGTATCGGCCCAAATGAATAAATAATATCTTATCTTCTTATTTTTTAATGATTTCGATATAGAGAGTAAAACATTACAAAACCATTGACCAAAATAAGACAAAAGGAATCGGGAATAGTGTTTTCAAAAGGGAAACAGTTAATTATTTTACAGACATTCCAATATTCTGCATGGCTGCATAGTGTAGTTGAGTACCGAGTATCAAGTATTTGGAAGAGAGAGAGAGAGAGAGAGAGAGAGAGAGAAGAAGAGAGGGAGAGAGGGAGAGAGGGAGAGAGGGAAGAGAGGGAGAAGAGGGAAGAGAGAGGAGAAGGGAGGGAGGGAGAGGAGAGGGAGAGGGAGAGGGAGAGAGGAGAGGGAGAGAGAGAGAGAGAGAGAAGAGAGAGAGAGAGAGAGAGAGAGAGAGAGAGAGAGAGAGAGAGAGAGAGAGAGAGAGAGAGAGAGAACAGGAATTTACGGAAGCTAAAGTCTAAGGGAAACATTATCATTTGGAAAGCTTTAATATTGGTTTATAAATTTGATTATCATTGGTCATTATGTAGGGTATTATGTACGCAAATTTACAAAGTCGTAAGTGTATAAAAAAAAAGAAAAAGAAAAAAAAGGTAAGGAAGAAAAAAAATCCCAATGTTAGTATTAGGATTAATTAGATCAGTTGAATCTCATCTCACTTAGACTGAATCAGTTAATAAAAAAAAATATATATCACCAGCAGTAATAGGAATCATGTAAATAATCTATCCCTTGCTGACGTCATCAATGAGGAAATTGTGGCGCTGTAACGAATTAATATCGGCAGATGACAAAGCCTTATAAAAGACCATATGTTATGCAAACAGAGCCATTACCAGCTGAGCGGATTTATCCATATTTGGCATTTCCGTGACAATGATTGCTGTGAATTACGATTTTTGTATTTTGAAGCTTATTGTCATTTTCCACATGAATGTCATTCCTAAATATTGACGAATGAATGTAGCTGTCTTGCTTATTGGCTTCTATTACTTAGTAATTTTTTTTTTCAGAAAGTCTTTTTTTTTTTTTTTTTTTTTTTTTTTTTTTTTTTTTTTTTTTAGATAACCTCGACGTGCCAGTTTAAAAAAAAAAAAAAAACGCTTGAGTCAGCAGCTAATAACCATTTTCTTTCTCGCAAATATTTGAATTCCAACATAACTAACAACAAAACAAAACAAAGAAGTCCATCCATATTTGAACACAAACATGAATAGCAATCACTTAATCGTTGTCACTTCAGAGCATCGTCATTAAAAGTAAAAAAAAAAAAAAAAAAAAAAAAAAAAAAAAAAAAAGAAGAAAGAAAAACGCGCTGTTGCCCGCACCGTAATTCTCCTTCGCTCGTAGGTCGTAGCCCCGTAGGTAGTAGTCGTCAGGCCCCGTCCCGTCTAGGTCCGTAAGCCCCGTAGTCGTAGCCCGTAGGTCGTTAGCCCGTAGGTCGTAGCCCCGTAGGTCGTAGCCCCGTAGGTCGTAGCCCCGTAGGTCGTGCCCCGTAGGTCGTAGGCCCCGTAGGTCTAGCCCCGTAGGTCGTAGGCCCCGTAGGTCGTAGCCCCGTAGGTCGTAGCCCCGTACGGTCGTAGCCCCGGGTAGGTCGTAAGCCCCGTAGGTCGTAGCCCCGTCGTAGGTAGCCCCGTAGGTCGTAGCCCGTAGGTCGTAGCCCCGTAGTCGTAGCCCGTAGGTCGTAGTAGGTCGTAGCCCCGTAGGTCGAGCCCCGTCGTAGCCCCGTAGGTCGTAGCCCCGTAAGGTCGTAGCCCCGTAGGTCGTTAGCCCCGTAGTCGTAGCCCCGTAGTCGTAGCCCCGTAGGTCGTAGCCCCGTAGGTCGTAGCCGTAGGTCGTAGCCCCGTATAGGTCGTAAGCCCCGTAGTCCCCGTAGGTCGTAGCCCGTAGCGTAGGTCGTACCCCGTAGGTCGTAGCCCCGTAGGTTCGTAGCCCCGTAGGTCGTAGCCCCGTAGGTCGTAGCCCCGTAGGTCGTAGCCCCCGTAGGTCGTAGCCCCGTCGTAGCCCCGGTTAGCCCCGTAGTCGTAGCCCCGTAGCCCCGGTCGTAGCCCCGTAGGTCCGTAGCCCCGTCCCCCGTAGTCGTAGCCCCGTAGGCGTAGCCCCGTAGGTCGTAGCCCCGTAGCGTCGTAGCCCCATACGTCGTCGTTGCTCGCTACGTCAAGGGAAAAAAACGACAGATTTTCCAACCGGGTCGAAAGTGCACTGTGCCACTCACCAATGCGGTGCCATTGTCATGAGGTCATTTTTGTTATTACGCTACGAAATACGACTGTCTTTTTTTTTTTTAATCCAACACTTTCTTAAAAAATGCTTTTGTTCATCATTCAATCATTTCATCATTAGATATCTCTGTTTTCATCATCAGATATCTCTGTTTGTTCATCATTCAGATATCTCTGTTTGTTCATCATTCAGATATCTCTGTTTGTTCATCATTCAAATCTCTGTTTGTTCATCACAAATCTCTGTTTGTTCATCATCAGATATCTGTTTTTTCATCATTCAGATATCTCTGTTTGTTCATCATTCAGATATCTCTGTTTGTTCATCATTCAGATATTCTCTGTTTGTTCACCATTCAGTAATCTCTGTTTGTTCATCATTCAGTAATCTCTGTTTGTTCATCATTCAGAAATCTCTGTTTGTTCATCATTCAGATATCTCTGTTTGTTCATCATTCAGTATCTCTGTTTGTTCATCATCAGATATCTCTGTTTGTTCATCATTCAGATATCTCTGTTTGTTCATCATTCAGAGATCTCTGTTGTTCATCATTCAGATATCTCTGTTTTGTTCACCATTCAGTAATCTCTGTTTGTTCATCATTCATCATATCTCTGTTGTTTCATCATTCAAATATCTGCAATCATTCAATATTCTCTGTTTTGTCATCATTCAATATATCTGTTTGTTTCATTCATTCAGATATATGTCATCATTCATATCTCTGTTTGTTCTCATCATGATATCATCTCAGATATCATCATTCAATATCTCTGTCATCATCAAATATCTCTGTTGTTCATCATTCAGATATCTGTTTGTCATCATTCAGATATCTGTTGTTGTTCACCATTCAGTATCTCTGTTTGTTTCATTCAGATATCTCTGTTTGTTCATCATTCAGATAATCTCTGTTTGTTCATCATCAGATATCTCTGTTTGTTCATCATTCAGATATCTCTGTTTGTTCATCATTCAGATATCTCTGTTTGTTCATCAGATATCATCAAATCTCTGTAGTTTACACCTCAGGATGGACCTGGAAGATAGATTTAAACATATAGTATTCACTACAAAACAGCTCTTTGACGACGGAATAACAATAACAAGCACATACACCGTTATTAATTCTGTTCACCGGTTCAAAGAGCCACCGTATTGACACAGTTCAGTACATGTACATTCTTAATTGCGTACAGAATTCCAAAGACAAAAACGCCTCGACTATAAATTGATTCAAAGCTATATAAAATTCCTAAAATATGTATCAACTGCACATATGAAAAGATACCCAACATGCAAACCAATTAACTTATGCCTTTTTTACGTTTTTTTTTTTATGTGGTGTAACATTCTTTCGAATCATTTGTGTGTATATTGCATGCATTCTGTACTTACTGTGAACTCCTGTTTGGAATAATGGATAAGGATTGCATGTTCGAATAGATAACATAAGGAAAATGTTACACGTTAGAAAATATGGAAGAGAGATATTTTCAGGCAAAACTAGCTTTCGCAGGTTCCCCCCCCCCCTCCTCTCTCTCAAAAACAAAGAGAGAGAGAGAGAGTAAATATGTATGCATTCATCTCCCCCCCCCCCTCTCCCTCCTCTCTCTCTCTCTCTCTCTCTCTCTCTCTCTCTCTCTCTCTCTCTCTCTCTCTCTCTCTCTCTCTCTCTCTCTCTCTCTCTCTTCTCTCAGTCTATTTTCTCTCTGTCGTCTCTCTCTCTCTCTCTTGTCTGTACCTCTCTGCTTATTACCACACACACACACACACACACACACACCACACACAACACACACACACACACAACACCACACACACACAACCCCCCCCCCCACACACACCACACCACAGACAACACACACACACACACACATGGACACATACTTAGATATATGTGTGTGTCTGATATCCTCAGTATCTACACGCTGTTGCTCTCCCTTTCCGGGCATTAAGCATTCACTGCGTCCGACGTATTACCAGATGTGAAATATTGGCTGCATATATTCTCTCCGCTCTCAGACCTATTCCAGTTCCTCTTGCTTCTTCCAGGAACGTCGGAGTTTCTTTTCCTCTCCTTTTCTCTTTCTCCTTTTCTATCCTTTGTTTGTTTATTTATCTTTCTGTCTCTTCTCTCTCTTTCTCTCCCTTTCTCTTTCACTCTCTCCCTATCTCTCTCTCTCTCTCTCTCTCTCTATCTCTTTCTCTCTCTCTCTCTCTCTCTCTCTCTATCTATCCCTCCCTATCTCTCTCTCTCTCTCTCTCTCCTCTCTCTCTCTCTATCTTATCTCTCTCTCTCTCTCTATTTTATCTTCTCTTTCATTTAATTTCTTCTCTACAACGACTTTTATTTGTGGCTATTGCTTCAACATTCTCCATTGTTAGACTTATTATTACAAATATACGTTATAGTGGCAGTAGCAGAGGGAACGCCCGTATTTCCTAGAAATTCATTGACTCAAGGTATTTCTTAAGACACATGAGTCAAGTTAATCAAGAAAGGAATTCATCTTCCTCTTATACAGACACACACACACCTGACACACACACACCACACACACACACACACACACACACACACACACACACACACACACACACACACACACACACACACACACACACACACAACACACACACACACACACACACACACACACACACACACACACACACACACACACACACACACACACACACATAATATATATAATATATATATATATATATTATATATATATATATAAACGATATATATAAGGAATTTCTCAGCTAAGTAATTCACTGTACAATCACTATGCTGTAGATAATTACTTATTTATTTTATTTATTCATTTTTTTTTCTTCTTTCTTTTTTATTATTATTTTTTTTTTACCAGTTGTTCTCGCAGTGCACAGTATTGATCCGTCTTATGCTTATGAACTATTGGCTCCCCCGTGAACCCGTAATCAGCCAT